ATCGATATGCATACGCGAACTGGATGTGGTACGCTAGGAAAAAAGTCAATAACAGACACGACCCCGATTTAACATGTACGACCATTCGCGCGCGTACTAAATAGTTACACGAGGGGGATGTTATTGTCGGAATCGATGATGAAAAAATCTCAATGATGTAACTTCGCGGCACGAGGAACGCGTGCAGGTTTTTACGCACGCATTCATTATCTGAAATTTCAAGAGACACAACAATTGCGATGCCGATGACGGACTTTATTTTCGCAGCTGTCATCTCGCGCCGTTGAAAGAATAGACGATCATTACGCGAGGCTATTACAGCCATTTTGATGTTTATTTTGCGAAATAAGACCTCGTTTTTTTTTGCGCACAATATACACGATATGTATCAATAATCGTATTTTTTTTCACGCTTTCTACATTTCACTCTTTGAAAAAATATGACATGTAAATAAACGTAGAGTCGAGTTGAGATGTTTCTTTTTGAGTAAAAAAAGAAACTAATAACAATTTTGTCACACAATTACAAACATAAAAAGAAACAAAAAGTTTCTTTGTTGCTTAGAAGCAACAAAAATATTTTAGCACAAAAACTGAAAAATAAATAAAGATTCAAGAGTCGAGGCAACAATGTCACTGCTGAGTAGAAGCCCAATCAATCTATGCTAAATAACTAATTTAAACGATTAAAAAACAGACGGGAACAAATTAACAAACACAAATTTAAGATAAAAATAATTAAAAGGAAACATTAAAATCAACAGTAATAGAAATCGTAACATCACAAAATTACAAAAAACTTTCTAACAATACGAGTATTACAAATGAGCAATAATATAAGATTTTTCGCTGTACGAAATGAAAGAAGACAACTTTCTTTCGGGGTTGCCTCTCACTTTCTATTGAAAAAAGACAACTTTCGATTCGAATATCAGAGGACGTATAACAAATTATATCTGACAATGACGTTGAGAAAAAGATGCTTCGAGAAGAAAAAGATAATTCGGAATGTTCATCTGCGATGTCGAGAAAAGTTAATTTTGATGACAAATGGAAAGGAGTCAGAATGAAAAATCTTCATTAAAATGGAACAACTCACGAAAAAAGGTAAGAAAGAACGCTAACATGAAGACAACGTAAATGAATAAACGTATCTCAGATAAATTCGCAACTAACTGAACCAAAAATGGACTGATATAGAAATAGGAATATTATTTTAGATACATATTAAATATATATATATATATATATATACATATAAAATGCTGTCATTAATCATTTTTATGTTGAGAAACGTTCAAGGCAAGACTGGCCGATCGCCGATTGAGTCGAGTTTTTACTTTGGAGCGCATCGCGCGGATCGCGCGAGAGCGCGTGTCGCGATCCGCTCTTCTGATCGAAATACAGTATATCTTGTTGCGCAAAAAAATAAGGTAATGTCGCCGCGGTAACACGAGTGAATCATACAGAGACGAGAGAGAGAGAGAGAGAGAGAAAAAGAGAGCTGCGCCCAGGGTGTCAGGTCGCATCTGGCATCCGCAATCAACACTCCGCGTACTTCCAGTGACGTCACGTCCGGTTGTGTGTGCCGAATAAGCAGAAACCGCGTAACCGAGCTCCGTCCACGAGGGAACGATTTCGAAAAAAAGGAGAGAGAAAGAGAGATACACACATTCACCGCGCCGAAAGCACGTGTCGCGTGGCATCGAAAGACACGTCGCAGCGCGGCGCGCCGCGAACACGCGCGTTTCCAACACACGCGGAAATAAGAATCTCGCAGGACGCGAGAGACACACGCGCGTCAGAAAAAAAGAAACGGACCGATGACTCTTGATGCCATCCTGAGCTTGTAACGAGAATTCGATTTTTTTCTCGAAATCGCAAATTAAACCTCGCGTTTATGTCTGTTATCAATTTCACTTTCGGTCTTATACTTTGATTTTACGACGTGTTTCGCGCGCGAACTTCACTTTATCTACTTTTCGCGACGAATTACTTCATATCCAGCGCGCGATCTGACGCGACTCTAAAGTAGTTTCGATCGATCGGCAACTTTAAATAGAAAATAGTGATTTTAGAAAATAAAAAAAAAAAAAAAACATTTTAAGATACTGCTGCCAACAACAAAACGATCATCTGCGCAAGCAAACATTTGTAAAATTTGCTTATGCAGATCGAGCAAATCGAGATAGCGTATGCAGTTAATTATTTCGCAGCGACTATTGTGTTACGTGCGCGATACGCTATGTGGCTACGTACGCGATGATCCAAATCGCGTGTTTACTTCGCGCGTGAAATATAGACAACGAAGTTGTGACAAAGACAACCGTCAATATCGCGGCCGATATTATTAACACGCGCGTGCACAAGCAAAACGTCAAAATATACGGCGAGATCTCGATTAATGTGGTTATATAATTTCGGGGAGATTTTTTGTTCGGGGATCTCTGATCCTCAATGTAAATACGCGCGTCATTGATTCGTGATGTAATCGCGGTCGCAGCCGAGATTACACGTCACATTTCGTTTGAACTTCGAATCAGAACATTGTAACACATTCGAGCCGATAGATAAACGGTTCGATCTCCAGGGTCGAGGGTTATCCCGAACGGGACCTAAAGATATTGTAATTTTTCTTCGCGCGACCGAGCAGAAATGCAACATCTCGTTTAATAGGCTCTCGCTTTTACCGCGAAATTTTCTGAAACCCGAGAGTATTTATAAACCGAAAGACCAATGTATATTATCGTGCTTCTATATTTGTAAATATTCTACATAAAATACAAATATTTATTCACCCTTGATATACACACGAGTCACCCTCCACACGTCCGTCAAACACGCGCGAATTTTTTGTTTCTCTTTTCTTCTGTTTACGTGTGAACCGTTCAAGACGGCAAATCAAGCGAAATAAAGAGCTACATTTTTAACGTAAAGTAACTCGGAAGCAGCTAAACTGCTCGAAATTTCAATTTTATCTTTTTTTTTTTTTTTGTTTTTTTGTAATCAAAATTGAAGCCTCGAACAAAAGATCCGCGGACATTAATTCGTAACAGTAGATAATTAACGAGAACTTGCAATAATTGGCGAGTGCTCGTAAACAGGAAGGAACGGCAAAATCGCGGCAGGCATCAACTTTTGGTAACGCGGATGAGACGACGATGAGTGCGGCGGATGGTCCCGAGATAGGGGGCAAAGGGTTAGACGAACAAACATCGTTAATTTGCACGCGGATACCGCCCCGAGACCCGGTAAAGGCTAAAAGGTCAACATTACCGCGGTTACGTGTATACACGCGGCAAATATACTCCGCGCCCTCGCGCTACCCTACCCCCTCCTGAAAATGCGCTCGCCGGACCCCCCTCCGACGCTGAGGTTTTCAAGCCTCGGTCGGGATTGATGACGGGGGGGATGAGACTTCCCTCCATATCCGAGGGCACCGACCTAATTGTCTAATTGGCAAATAAATCCTATTGTTTTCCGATCGCGCGATCGATATGCGCGACCACCACTTGGTTTAACACCACCGCCGGAGGTTTCTTTCAACCTCCTGGCGCGACTTCAAGTGTTCTCCACGAACACACTGACGTCGGTCAAGAGACGCATCGCGCGCAACGTGTGACACGTATGCACTCCTCCGCGTCTTCTGGGGTCACCGCATTTGTGCGCCGATCAATTGAACGCACGTAGAGCGCACTGATCGCGCGCGAATAACGAGCAAAGAATGCACAGCGAGACGCTCTCGTTGAGTTTGACAGAATAAAGAAAAAAAATTTGAAATGTTTTTTTCTCACATTTTTCTTTTTGTTATAAATATACATGCTTTATATTTTATACTTTCTGTTTCTAATCACGTGTTTGGGCGCTTTTCAATTCGGAGGTATCGAATTCGATTGCACGATTGCCAATTTAAACAATCGAATTTGATTTACGTATAGTCCTTGCTAAAAATTATCGCGACCCGAAAAGTGTGTGTATCCGACTTATTGTTGGTACGATTTTTTATACAGAGCGCGTTCTCCCAGAGCGAAATCGGAACGCGCTCCGGTCCTATACAGGCCGGGAACGGATTCGTGCTAGAGCAAGGCTGGAAGGAGGACGATTATCGGACAATAGTTTGTTAGTGAGATTCACCTGTATTGTTCTCCGAGAAACGTAGATTCAGCTCTAGCGCGCGAATTATTCTATTTCTGTGTAAATCATAGAACACATTCTGTCTCAGTCCCACAGAATCTCGCGCGGTAGATTGCTTCGAATCTATCTCGCGCGGTTGTTCGAACAATTCGCGGAGAAACAAATTGTTTATAATCTCAAAAAAAAAAAAAAAATGCAAGCTACGTATATACGTTTCTATCCTCAATTAGCGGTACGGAACGTAAGTAAACCTTTACGTCTGAAATTATTCATAAAATTGTCTTCATTAACCTTTTCGCTCCGGGGATTTTTCCTTTAAAATTGACCTCGCATTTTAGCTGAAAAAGTTAATAATAACCTGCTACCTCCCCTTCAAAGTTAACTTTGAAGGTCAAAGAAGTAACCAGGATTTTTTTCAATTTTTTTCCTAAATTTAGTGCATTAAATTGACCTTATAAACATCTATTACGTTCGCTTTTCTTGCTGGTCCATATATGGACCAGTCCCGGAGCGAAAAGGTTAATATTGTTCGCAAAAGAAAAAGCACAAGGTGCGAATAAAAAAAAAAACAGAGTTTCAAATGTTATATTACATGTTATGTAAAAAGGATAATACATATATGTGCCTTTTATTTCTGAAATATCTTGATTTTTTTGTGACAATGCTATAAATATAAATAATGACTTAATAATTAACACTTTACACAAGCACAAATTGGTTAAAATATTATACAAATAGCACTGCTTTGTTGCAATAAGAATATTCGCACTCCTGTATTTGTTTTTATTATTCATTTGCGTGTTATATATAATGTTATATTTAGAAGTTTATATATATATATATATATATATATATATATCACACACACATTAATAATATATATATATATATATATTATATATATATAATATTACTAAAAAATATAACAATTTATTCTGTCTGCTTAATATTTTCTGAAAGGCCCCAGCAAGATGATAGCTAAATTATTAAACAATATACAGCAAATCAGAGATAAAACCAACTGAATCGGCTCGTCAAGACTGCATTAGTGATCGATAGTCAACCACTTATCTGTAATATTTTCTATTTGTTTAAAGAGAATAGGATTTCTTAGGCGGATTTTCAATTCAAGTTTTCCTCCTGTCGCCTTCCTGCCGTCCATAAGCTGAAACAATATATAACGTGATTTTTTGTATTAAAGAAAAAGAAATAAATTCGCGCAAGTGAATGATTTGTGTAATTGTTTAATCACCGGGAAAGAATCGTGTAGAGTGCATTGGGATTCCAGAGGTTGTAACTTCACCATCACCGTGCCGAGAAGACTGTCACTTCGGAAAAACCCACTGTAACATTTACAAAGATCTATTTACAACAAATGCGAGAAGAGAATCGCAAAGACTGTTATCGCAGAAATTTAAATACACGTTGTTACAGGTTGCTCGTGTAATAACTACGTACAGAAAACTCATATGCTAATTTTATATCTTGCGATACTTTCTCACTCAACAAATTATGATACATACATAATATTTATACAGGGTGTTTCAGAACTATGGGATCAAACTTCTAGGGGTTATTCAGTGCAACAGTAGAAAACATTTGAGTATAGGGACCCATGTCCGGAAAAGTGTCACTACCGCACTACGGCTTTAAGACGCGTTAAAATTTAGAAAGACGATGAATTGCCTAAATA